GCCTCGGAGAATATCGAGTGCAAACATATCGGGGGACGACGGCTAATCTTCGCGTGTAACAACAGGTTAGGCGGAATCCTTTCAATTTCGCCCTTGATCCCTTCTCGATCGATCGAAAAATTCGATCCCGGGCGTCCGCGATTCGTCAAAGGATCGTTGTGTACCGTTCGCGGGAACGTAATTAACCGAGCAAACAGTGTCCCGGTGCAGCGGGTAGAGCTCGTTTCCACTTAAGAAACGAATAAACGAGTTTAACACATATCCGTCAGGCATGTTTCGCACCGGCATCGATCGAGAGCCGGCGTTTCCTCGAAACATTGCTCTTCAGTGATCAGGCATCTATCACGTGCTTTTTCCCAGAAAAATATCTCTGCTCATAGGTGAGTCACATTTGAACTTTTCCAAAAGTTTTTTGAGCTTTCAAAATTTGGGCCCTATAAAAAAAACATTTTATTCTTTATAGGGCCCAAATTTTGAAAGCCCAGAAAAACTTTTGGATTAAAATGATATTGTTTATCATTCCTTTCATTCTCATAAGTGACTGAGAGTCACATCGTGGTATGATTCGTTATAAAAACACGTGGTACGATTGTTAACACTAGAACTACCGTATCAGTCGAAATGATTGGTTTCGATTTTTTAGCAATTATTGATATCTTCGGAATGATTTTGAAAATAAATAGTTTCATCTGAGTAGTATAGTGAATGCTTGAAGAAACTGAAAATAATCTATTGTTACAATTTTTATGGTAATTGCATATCAATCGTATGAAATGCTCGGTAGTTCTAGCGTTAAATTTATTTAGATTCGAAAACACAACTACCAAATGAGAAATTTTCGTTACTTGAGCAACACTGAATGTTTGTGAAAGAAATTTTTGCCATTCGGCTGAGTGTATGTCAATTTTTCGATTAAACACGGAGGAGATGAAAACTGTCGCGTTGCACTTTTCAATTTCGAGAATTTTAACGGGTGACGGTTTTTCGGAGTTGCCAGGTATGACTGTAACGCGTCGAAATTACCAGCGGAACGAGTCCCGCTTCAGAACGAACAGCTTGCCGGCCGAACTTCTGCGAACTGCATTTCAAAGTGCGTTCCCAACCCTCTACGGGATACACCCGGATCCTCTCTGCATATTGTTTCGGTTTCGTTCCTTTCCTCGCCTCTTCCGTCTTTTTAGGTTGCATCTGCTGGAAGGATTGTCGGTAGATCACAAAAGTTTATGCAAATTCCGTGCTGGATCTTCTGCGGTACAGGTATTTGATCTGCTCTGCTTTTTATCCGAAATGAAAGAAATTTAACCCTTAGCACTCCAGGTTGTTCTGTAACCTATCAGCAACTGCAACTAATTTTTATAGTATTCCTAGCGAAAATGGAAAATGCTATAACATTTCTTCGATCTTTTATTTTCCTTAGTACAAAATTCGGATGTGTGGGAAATCTAATAATTTTAGGGTAGTTTCTTTAAGATTCATTAAAATATTTAATATTATAGCTGGTGCATTGGAGCTTACAGAGTTCAAAGGGTTAAATTTTCCATCATATAAAATTTTCAATTCAATATTAAACCTTGTGTAATGTATCAACACATAAAACATCGAAGTAAAATAGTTCTGTCTCTTAATTCACATAAGATAATCAATTGTGTTAGTTACAAAAAATATCGTTAATATTTAATCTGGAAGTAATGAATAGTTTTAATGAAAAATATTATCGAGTGCAAAGGGTTAATAGGTAACAGCAACTTTGGGTGCAATATTGGAGCCTATAGAGTTCAAAGGGTTAATATGACCTTTATTTCCTATACTTTTATAAAACTACAGTAATAATTAATGAATCATTATATCAAGGGTGATACAATTCTTTTCATTTCATTCCACGAATCTTCAAGTTTATATTTATCCGTAGTTTATATTTTCCAAGAAGAATACAACGCGGTTACGAAGAATCTGAGAAATGAATCTTCGTCCCCGTTTCCGCGGCCACAATGGGAGAATCAACGTGATCGCGGCCCGTTCAAACGAATAAGGATATGCATTAAAGAAATTAGTTCCATCGGATGTTCGTCTTCCACAAGTATCACGGCGGTGTGTGTTTTTCGTTCGTATTCCACGCGCTCGTGGGTCTCGCGAACTCTGAAAGTTTCCGGCGGAGTCGGAAATTTCGCCGTGGATTGAAATTTATTATTCGATGCTGCCAGGAATTTTCGATACCGTAGTTATTGGATGTGCTATTCAGTTATCCACCGGCAAGTATTCTCGGGGTTAATATCAAACGTGACTCCGGGAAGAACGTAGCAGCGAGGTTTGCAAACCTCCCCCTCCTCGACTCGTCGCTATTTACCAACCTTTCATACCAACAGTGACACTCGACGTACGCATCAAGAAAATAATAATATCAATGCATACACAATTATTGAAAATAAGGTAGAATGGAAGAATATCTGATAGGAACAAAAGCTACTGAACAACATTTTTCTCTTGTATGCAAATACGATTCCTTTACTTCCACGGATCAACCCCTAAAAGGGATGATTAGCCTCATTGCTATTTACCAACCTTTCATACCAACAGTGACACTCGACGTACGCATCAAGAAAATAATAATATCGATGCATACACAATTATTGAAAATAAGATAGAAAGGAAGAATAAAAGAGAACATTTTTCTCTCGTAAATTGCGTAAAGTAAATTGAGTTAGTATGAAGCTTATGACAATTGGAGAAAATATATGAGAATTTCAATTCCTTTACTTCCCCGAATCAACCCCTAGAAGGGATAATTAGCCTCGTCGCTATTTACCAACCTTTCATACCAACAGTGACACTCGACGTACGCATCAAGAAAATAATAATATCGATGCATACACAATTATTGAAAATAAGATAGAAAGGAAGAATATCTCATAGGAACAAAAGCTACTAAAGAACATTTTTCTCTCGTATGCAAATACGATTCCTTTACTTCCTCGGATCAACCCCTAATAAATACGCAGAACGAAGATTTCTAATTGAAAAGTAAATTGCGTTAGTATGAAGCTTATGACAATTGGAGAAAATATACAAGAACTTCAATCCCTTTACTTCCCCGAATCAACCCCTAACAGATACGCAGAGCGATGATTTCTAACTGAACAGTAAATTGCATTAGTATGAAGCTTATGACAATTGAAGAAAATATACGAGAACTTGAAAAATTAAATGCTACTAAGACTAATATGCTCGGAGTAAGAATTATCTCCGAAATAACGGAGAGTATTAGCAGCGCGACAAGGGGTGGAGAAAGAGTAAACTGCGAGCTGGACGACTGAGGTACCGGAGATATTATAAAACGGTTAAAAAGAAACAGGAAACCAGGGGAAGGATATAAGGAGACCTGAGCAAATAGATTAATCCTTAACTGCCTTACCCAGAAGGAAAATCTGCGGGAACTGGAACAATTTATTTTCCCCTCCATGTACGGACCCTGTGATTCATTTCCTTCTTGGTGAAAAATAGAGGAATGAAAATTGTTCGATCGTGAAAATACAATACCAAATGTTCAATATTAACATTTTTAATTCTACTATTTATTGTTCACGATCTTTAGAAAATATCCGAGTAACCCTCCCACGAAATACAAGAACACGAAATGTCTTGTACTATAATTCTAGGTTTAAAGTTCTAGATGTAAATTTTAGATACAAACTGAAACTATAAATGGAACTGTTCTCGCAGATGTAAATTTCAGGTAACAACTAAAACTATAAACTCTAAATAAAACTGTTTTAAGCACGCTTATAAACAGCTTCCGTCCGTTCTCCTCTCAGAGAGCAACGCGCAATATTTGAATTTCGAAAGGCAATGGTAAGTGCAGGATACACAATACGATATCGTTATTGCAAGCCGTTGCATTCCAAGGTGCACTTAGATCCTCCTTCACGCTGCTTCGTTTAAAATGGTTTCTCCGATTCTATATTTTTCATTGATTCACTTTAGCGCGGCTTTTTAAACCGTTATACTCGCATTACATGTTACGAAACAAAATAAAAGAATAGTATATTTTACAAACTTCTCTAAGATACTCGCATTCCCATTAAATCAGGGATGTTTTTCAATTTGACAGTAGTACGAGAAAATTGTAACTAGACTATGCATGTCTACTTTTCTAATAATACGTCAAATCTATAGAAAAACTGAGGTCCACATCAGGGTTAACGATTCATTCAGCGTTTGGTTTTTTGAAGAAAAAGAACTGCCAGATAAAAATTACCCATTTCTAATTTCCCTTTCAGAATTATCCAAAAGACAAATGCTACTTGAAGAAATTACATTACTTAACCCTAATCGAACCACGATGTGACTTCGATTCACATTTGAACTTTTCACTTAAATCTTTTAATTATTTCATATTGAATCTCCAAAAGTTTGGGCTTTTAAAATTCGTGCGCCATAAAGAAAAACAATAACATTTTAATCATTTCCTTTATTCTCAAGTGACTGATAGTCACATCGTATCATTTGTTATAAAAACACGTGGTACAATTAGGGTTAATTGAGCAACATGCGAGTTAAGATACAATACAATTAAAATCTCAATGCGATCTTATAATTCCTCTAGAAAAATATCAAAAGATCAACTGAACTATTCGTTACTTGTCACGGGGTTTTCCAATGAAGTTTTTTAAAATCTCTAGATGATAGTCGTAAACACTCAATTTTATGTTTATTTTGTTTTTCTATACTTTACAGATACTATTAATTCAAGAAAGTCTTATCTCGACTACTTTACTCAGAATAACTGACAAATGCTCATTATTATTACTATACACACGGTGTGCAATCGGCCTCGAATAGTTTAAACGGGGTCCTACCGTACTCGCAAAAAGCGGAAGAAGAAAGAATGTTTCGTGCCTCGAAACGAAAGGAAGTTTTGGCGCGCGACGCAGCCCTCCCTCTCTCTCACCCTTCTCTGTCTCACTCCCGTGACCGTCGCTCAGCAGCTCGGTCTTCAGTGCGATCCACGCGGCCCGACCGCGAGGATGTGTTTCCGTGAGAATGTATGTCGATCGAGTTCCCATTCACTACCGCGAGAAACGTAAAACAACCGATCCTTTCTTCCCGAAGAGGCCTTGAAGAGAATCCTCCAACCAATCCACCCAACGTTGCGTCGCAAGCTGAACGTAAACGGTGATCGTCGAGGATTTCAAAACACGGACAAATCGATACAAACATCGGTGTAACGTTACTATTTTCAATGGAAAAATTTCTCTCCTCGGTATCGAAGTTCCTCGAGTTGCAACTTGGTGCATGCAACGAATATGGACACTTGTGCGTGTACTCCGATTCGTTGATCTCCGGGACAGCCTGCAGGTGTCACGGTTCCGGGCACTCGGACATTCCGGAACAGCATTCCCGTCGAACGAAGAGTTTCCATTCCGGGACCGTCTTCCAGAACGCAAAGAATCGCCGACATCCCGATCAACGATAAGACAATCTCGTAGGATCTTCGGTACCGAAATTTTCTTGTTCGCATTTCCGCGACGCCGAACATCCGTGAATTTCTGTTGCTCGAAACCGCGAACTTTTCTGTTGGAATCTCCGGGGAACTCGACGAAATTCTCGGAACTCGGGGAACCGCGACGGTACGGAATAAAACGGTTTTTACGATCGAAATTAACGTCGGGAGCTCGTTACGGAGGGAACACAATGGGACGCGTAGCTGTTCGAACTGTCCAATAAAACAATGATTCCGTTTCGACGCATTCTTAAGCAGTTATTTGTCTAACTCGAGATCCTTGATACACTAAAACAATACCTCTCTTACGAACCTATTTAATCAGATTCACGCGTCAACAGGAAACTCGAACACTATCCAATCGACATTGATTCCCAACAATATAATTTCCAACCAATTACAATCTCCTCGAACAACTACAACTCATTCTTCAACCGCATTCGTTAGCCATAACAGCGGCGGTGTCTGCGCGAGGGAAACGCGAAACCGGAAGTGAGCAGCAACGCGCGCGAACCGGCTGAAACGGATTCGAAGCTCGCGGCGAGCTCCGTGAATTGCCCGCTTTCGAGGCCGCATTGGAATTCAGAGGGACTCGAAAACGGCCCGGCATCCCGATCGGCGTCCACTCGAGACTTAATGAACCCTCTCCCGGCGATCCGTCTCGCGGATTCATACCTTTCGACGCGGTTCGGCCCGAGACACCGGGCAGGAGCGATCGTTACCGCGCTCCCGCTGGAATTTCGTGCTATTTAAAATTCAAATCGTCCTCGGGACACCGTGCGCCGTCGACCGGTACGTTCTTTCGACGGTCGATCATCGAATTAGGAGAACTTTCCAGTGCCGTGAGTTGTGATTCGCAATTTCGTCGGAGAAACAAAGTGTCGGGGTAGAGGACGACGTGATCGGCGTCGCGAAGAATTCGGGGAGGAGAGAGGAGAGAACTGGCGAAGTTGAAAGCCGCGGATCGACAGGAAGATAAGCCCGAAGAATGTGAGTAGGACGGTTCAAGTTATCCCGGGGCGACTCTGACATTTTCTATTCTTCGGCGCGGCGGTTTTTAGAAGCTGTCCTTTTAATCCCGCGGGAATAGCTGCCGCGACAACGGACCTAGGGAGAATATAAAAAGATTCTTCGCGAACGGCTTGTATTATAGCGATAGGCGAAGTTTGAGGTCGGAGAGCAGTTTCGAACTCGGCGTTGTAAGTTGGAATTAACCCTTTGCACTCGAGAGGTGACTCAGTCACCGCTTGATTCGATGCAAACTATAGAATTTGATATTTAACGTTAAACGCCACGTAAATCTTAAGTTTTCCCATAGAGTTTGTCTTTTGTAGCAAAGAAAAGTAGGAATTATGAATTGTTTGCGTTAGACTATCGACTTAGTTGCCTTAGTAAACATTTTAATTTCACATCGGTTGTCTTGGATGTTACGGTTGTTTTTTAGTCATTCGGAAGCGTCAGTCACCAGTGACTGACATGGCGCTTAAAGTGGTAATATTGAACTGTGTACAGTACATTGAGGCGGTCGAAGCAGCTTCGACCGAATGACTAAATAGCCTTGCAGTTATCGAGTTCCAGAAGATGTACAAACAATGGAAAAAGCGCTGGTAACGGTGTATTGATTCGGAACGGACATATTTTGAAGATTATTAAATCCATGTAGATATTTTCACTGAATTTTTTTTTATGACTTCAGTACCGATACTTATTGGACAAACCGTGTACATCGGTCTATGAAATAGACTTTGTCTCTCAATTTACTTGTGATTTTTCTTTGAGTTCGTTTAGAAAAATATCGTCTTTGTATAGTTAGGAAACGTTATTTCATTGGTTGTCTTATAAGTTACAAATTATTTTCTTGTCATTTGGATGCTCCGGTCATCGGAGATCCCGTGGCAGTCAACGTGTTAAGGAACAATGTTATTTTACGTCAATATTTCATATACTAATGGATTCTATTGAGTTTAATATCGAATATCAAACTTTTAGATAACTTTCGAGTACAAAGAATTAATACTCGTCGAATATTCGGAATATTTGATCATCTAATTTGAAGGAAAGGAAATGATGGGTAACATGGGTAATTTAATTGTAATCATTCTTATTTTCTTTCTATTGTTCGGGATAACTTCAAGTACACGAAAGATCGATAATCCATTTATACTTCGTTAACCGAGAAAATCCATTATTTTATAGAGTATTTACTTATAAACGTTAGCGAATGACTTGTAAAACTGAAGTACAGCCTCTTTTATTTACCTCATTCTCGTTTCGAGGTCGTAATCGAGACTACTTCGACAGTATTTCTTTTCTCCGTTAGTTCGCTCAAGAACGTGATTAATTCAAATGGCAAATGAAATTCAACGCAGCGCAGGCACCAGCTGGAATATCTTTCTATTCATCGTCCAGTAATGGCGAGGATTCTATCCTAACGAAGTGCAGCACCGCGAAAACGAATCTGTTGCCCCTTTATAACCCAATCTGGCCCGGAAGTACAAGCAATTTGTATCATCTCGTCGTTCATTCCTTTTTTGTGCTCTTGTTATCGATGGAAAAACATGGCGGCGCGCCTCGTGCACCGACGCGGCAAATTTTTGCGAAGCCCTCCGCCGCTCTGTGCACCATTTATATTTCGTTATTGCTGCATATTTCTTTTCGTAACAGAGAAGCCCTTGTATAAAATAGTTTTTACTTGAAATCAATAATACCAACGGAAAAGTGGTAGTTGGCTTTCCAGAAAATTGCACCGTTTGAATACGCAACGGTTGGAAATACAATGGCTGAAAATATTCGAGATTACGTACGTACGCCAGACCTTTCTCTCACTGAAACTTAGATTCTAGTTCGCGGAAAGTACACGGAACGTACCAAATTGAAAAACGATGAAGGGTACAGCGTAAGGTTCAATGTTCAACAAGTGTTGCGTCCAATTGTTCCAAAAGATGCCTAACGCTGTTCTACCGATGATAATTTATACGCGTTCCCGCGAACGCTGCAACCTGTTGACAACGCCTTAATATATTACCAGTTACTGAGCAGTTTCACACCGATCTAACATCAATATACACAATCAACTACTATAATTTCTTTCTTGATCTCGATAGGACTATATAATTATTCGTAATTTAAAAAAGAAGAACAAAACTCGATTATTCCACGCTGCGTTTAGTAAACACTATAACTGCCAGCAGAAAAACAATGTCGAATTCGGAACTGAAAGAATTGACATTTACATCCCTTACATTCCATGTCAAATCAAATCAAAATTTAATTATAGGTCAAAGGGTTAAAAAGCTCTCAAATCCCATGATGAATGTCTCTACTTATTCAGTGCGTTATCGATGACTCACGGAGATTAACCTCTTGCCCTACGAGTGAGACTCGTGAAGATTTTCAACATGACTCAACAAATATATATTACTCAGTTCATTCGAGTTCAAAGTAAATATCATTCCTCATCAACTATTATACTTAAAAGGAAATATTATTCTTTTTTTTCCAATAAATTATTAATGACAACGTAGCCGTATCGATCAGAGTTGAGAAATAAATCATAGGCCAAGGGGTTAAGTAGAGTGTCGCAAAGTAATGTACGCGTTATCTGTTTAAATCTCTAATAAATAGGTAACGAGGACATATGCTTGTCCTCTTTTCCCAATAAATTATTAATGCCAAAGCAGCCGTATCGACCACGGTTGAGAAATCGTAGGCCAAGGGGTTAATCCCATCAAATCGGACACAATAACGTCGGTGAAAGTTAGATCACCCATAAACATGCCGAGAGAGTCGTGAAACGTTCATCGAAACGAGAGCTCGTCGCCTCGGTGGATGTTTTTTTATCTATCCGGTGCAATTGAACAACAGATTGCCAACCGAAAAGGACGTCGTCGCCATCTTTGATTAGCGGGGACGAAAAAGGACGACTTCAACTCGCCTTTCATCGCGCAAATTCGTCCCCGCCGCCGCGCGTAAGGTCACAATCGGATCGTGACGAATTAGTCGACGTTTCATGGGGGCGAAGAGGTCGGCGAGGACGATCGTAAAAGAGACGCGCGAAGAAAAGGCTGCGCCCTCGACGTCAATTCGACATCCATGGGATTTTAAGTGCCTCCACCTACCTGCGTTCTATTTGATTAACCGTGTCCGTGACGCGCAACGAAATTATATTTCCTTTGCCGGTGTCGAGACACCAATAAATAGCGTAGCCCGTGAGATCAAGCTTTAACCGGATCACGTTTAATGCTCTCCCCTCCCCCTCCCGTTCAACCCTTCCCCGTGTCTTCCCCCCTATCGATGAATCGTTCATCCTCCATCGGGAATCTTCCCGGAGACGCGCGGATGAGAATTTTATTTCTCCTCAATAGCGGAATCGGTTGTCGCAAAGGCATTCCGACCCTTGCGCAGATTGATGCAGAAATATTTTCTAAGTGAAATGCAAAAGGAATCGAGTTCTCGGGGAACGCTCGCGATTCGATTGTGGCGTACCGGTGGCACTGGCAGAATTGATTTATACGCGTTCGCATGATAAAGCGAATGAAACTTTATTCGAGGGTTGATTTGATTAGAATCCTGCGCGAGGCTTAAGCGAATTCGTTTATTTATCGGTCGTATAATAATTCTGGAAATATCGACGGTAAGAAGGTAACGGCAGTCGTAAAATGCCAAGTTCCCGAGATGGGCGCATTACAATTTCTTTGGGAAGTTCTAGGAAAGAAATGATCTACGCTTCAATGTAGCAGACATTAAGAAGTTTATTAATGCTCGCAGTACGTAAAACGCGAAAAGTTTCCTCATACGGAAGCTCGTATCGATGTCGTCAAAGCTTCTCGTAATTCTTATAGTTTGATTAATTGCTCGAAGAATCGAACATTCGGTGCCCGCCGAGGTCGATGCGACTATCCAATCGGAGCGTCGAAGGAAACCCGAATACAGGGAAACGAGGAGAGTCGACTTGGGATCTCCGATACGGAAGTCCAGCAAAGTTTCCGATATTTCATCGATCGCGCCGCGTTATGCAGGCCACGCCGCCGCGTCGCTTTGATCGAACAAACGCCAAGGGACTAATTAATTCAGGTCGAAAAGTGACCGTCACCGAATTAAATATTATTCGGCAGCGCGTCCACGCCGTTGCGCGAACGCAGCGAATTCCGTAAATTATCCCGCGGCCGATCCCGTTCGCGCGTGCGTTCGCGCGCTCGAATACGAAATTGCGCTGCGGCGCCGCGTCGAACACTCCCCCCCGCCGCGGCGCGACGTTAGTTATTGCACTGTAATTTTGTCAAGCCGGTGCCCCCGCTGCACGATTAACATTCACGGTTTGGCCGTGGCACGCGGAACCTCCGGAAAATCCACGAAAAGGTTCTTCCCTTCGAACGACGCCGGAATAACGGCCGCGTAAAGCTCGTAAACTCGTGCATAAAAGCCGGCCGTAAAATCGCCCGGATTTCGTGGTGCAACAGCTTTTTAACTTTGTTTAGGGGAAACCCCCGTGAGAAACGGACCGGCATAATGGCGCGATTAATTCCCCACTCGGCCTCCTTTCGTTAACAACGATCAGATTCGGCGGCCGGGTGTCATAAAATATTCGAGGATTAATCAGCGGCTTGATAAATCGCCGGGCGAGTCGCGGACGAGGGTAAATGGACCGGGAGCGGAACGAGCCGCGCCGGGAATTAATCGGGAACGCTAGCGGCGCGGGTTAACGTGGCTTTTTTAAAGTGCGGATAATTATTCGTTATCGGGTTGTCGGGTTCGCTGTTATTTCGTTGACGGTTGTCCCCCGTTGGATTCGCTTCGAGCGATTTCTTGTTGGGATTTCGTGGATTGGAGAGTTATTTTTTGTGTACGGGACATTACATTCGGTGGAATGAATTAGTTTATTTGAGATAGCCACCGCATTGCGGACATTTATGTAATTGTTGAAGACAAATATCATGTGGTAAGCCCAGCAAGTTGGGTTGGATACAATGTATATATTTTATACTTGTACG